AAGTGAAGAAAAGGAAGAAAAGGAGGATGGCCCAGAGGCAGTAAGCGAAGAAAGAAGAAAGGAAGATGAAGGAATGCAAAAGATGATGAACTACAGCGGCCGACAGTTGCAGCTGGCGGTGCTCATGGCACTCATCGCCAAATCAAGGGCCCAAGGAAATCAGAGTGATGAAGATGAGAATCCCTCTGACCAAGCTGGTTCTGAGCCGCTTCAAATGTTCATGATGCTGTACACCATCCTTGTTATCTTGGCCACCCTGCTTTTCAGGCGCTTCTGTGCTTGGTTGCTGGCACCAGCTATCAATGATGGTGACGCTGCTGCTGGTCAACAATATGAGCCCCCGGCACTTGGGCCACCTGGTAGTTCCACGTCGGAATCCCAGGGAAGTTCCATCACCGTTGACTGGCAAGGCCGTGAAGTCAATAGGCCTAGTGCCAGATCAAAAGGAAAGAGAAAAGGAAAAGGGCAGGGCAAAGGAGATCCTCAAGATGGTGAGCCTGTTGATTGGGCGTATGGTCCAGCGCGCCCCATGACAGCTGAAGAGAGAAGCCAGTTTGGATTGCAGAACCGTGAATGGTTGCTGCGATGGCTTTCCTCTCTCACTCCCGAAGAGAGGGCACAGGCTGGCATACCTCCGACCTCGAGCTCATCCGGACAAGCCTCCCAGCCTCAGTCGGATGTCACGCTCACTGGCATCCAAGAAGAGCCTGAGCAGGAGATTCCTGCTGGCGATCATGAAGTACCACTCGAGGTTCCACCACAAGAGTCTCCGGCCAATGAGGATGAGACTCTCTACCACCCTACAGAGAGGGATTACCGTGATATGATGGCCGATGAAGCATGGGATCCAACACCACCTCAACCGAGACCGACAGGTCCTTCAGAAGCGGCTGCAAAAGCATGCCCAAGGGCATTTCAGCGTGATGGCGAACCGCCAATCGGGGATGGAGGCCGGAGGTACCAAGGGATGGGTGTCTACATCACCAAGTATGGGCAAAAGTACCATATTTTCACTTCTTGCCCTACGCTCACCTCATCCGTGCTCCGAACCTCACCTCCATGCCACCGTTGCGCCTTCACCATCGACATGGCCCATGTCCGAAGAGGTGAACACCTTTGGTCTCGTGGATGGGGCGAGATCTACCATGTGGATGCTGCCAGACCACCGGCATGTTCAACTGGAGCTGAGAAAAAGTATGCCCCATGTGTTCGATGCCTGCAGGAGCTCCGGGAACGGGAGCTCAATATGTGAAGGAAAGTGGTGGAAGGGAAGAAAAAGGGGGGCCGCCTTTAGTTGCGCTTGGCGACCTTCCTAAGGCCATTTTGGCCATTGTGGTGAAACAAATGCCTGTTGGCATTACGGTTTTGATGAAGAAAGGAGAAAAGAAAAGAATGGGGTGCACACTGGGCTAATGGCCTGCAGGATACAGTACAACTGTTTTCAACGAATGCATGGGCATTGTTGGTTTCATCTTGCTGCCACACGGCCTGGTTGGCCTTTGAACTGACAGATGAAGAAGCTGTCAACCAATGGGGCTTGAGCTGATGGAAAGCCTGCCCTCATCACACATGCTGGAAGAAGGGTCCTAGACCTGGAGTACTCGTGTGGTGAGGAGCATGGCATCACGATGTCTTCAAGGAAGACAGGGGGAGTGTTGATGCATGACCCCTGCACAAAGATGACACGCTTTTGCATGCTGCATGAATCTGCAGCCCTTTTAGATGAAGTTGAGGTCAAGACACCTCAACGGGGCGAGAAGACCCCACCAAGACCACGAAGTCAGCAGAAAAGCAGAGCATCCTTTTTGCGTTGTCTTGAGGGTTGTTTTGAGAGGGTTTTACTTGGGTGAGGAACATGCCCGACCACCAACAGTTTCTAATAGCTTCTTGTTACTACTAGTAAGGCACCTGTTACTACTAGCGTGGCACTTGTTACTACTAGTAACAAGAAGCTAGGATGATCTTTGATGAGCGTCAACGGACCAAATTCATACCACATGATCGGTCTTGGCGGCCAACAAGGCCCTTCCTATGATCGCGAACGAACATCGCCATATCGTCAAAACAGAAAGTCCCAGCAAGATGCTAGTAAGGCCAGGAGCTACTAGTAGCGTCCTTGCTGCTAGTAGCGATGGCCTCCAACCTAATAGCGATGGCCTCCACCTAGTAGCGTCCTTCCTACTAGTAGAGAGTTTTGAGTTGGAGTTCGGGAATAAACAACAAAGATGTTGTAGATGAACTTGACACAATGAGCCGGCAAGGCCCCAACCTCATCATCTCGGCATTCAAAGAAGCAGGCAATATTCTGGATAGACAGTACAGAGATGGACAGGATAGGTGAGAAGATGTCGACCTTCCCTAGTGCGAGCGCATCAGTCTTGAGAGAAAGACAAAAAGACATGGACTCTCCATCAAAAATCGCTACTAGGAGCAAGTGCATCGCTTCTAGTAACAAGTGCCTTACTACTAGTAACAAGA